GATCCTCTGCTATGCTTACCATAATCGTCTGTGATGAAAGCCATTTGCTTTTTTTGTTCACCAAACCAGTTTTCGGCAAAACTGATTTGTAGGCTCCTCTAAACATCTATTTCCCCCGCCCAACTGCCTAACGTATTTTGTGGTCAGACATTTAATTTTTGGCTAATCAGCTAAACTGAATATTTAATTGCGGCGGAAATGATCAAAAATATCGAATCAAATAAGATTATATTTGTTTCAATATACTAAATAGAATAAAACTCCACCAACATAAACTCCTGTTGCGCAGGGTACGGATGCCAATTAGGGAAATTTGACCTTATATTGGCGGAATTCAACGAAAATGGAAAATGGTGGAAGTTAACGAAAAAAAGGGCAAGTCGGGTTACTGAAGATGTAAAAGCAGGTTATTCTTATAAGTCAAAGGCAAAAAGACCTCTGAAACCAATCCTGTCCAGTTTTCTTTGTGCAGGTATTATTAGTAGTAATAATAGTAGTAATGATAGTAGTAGCTTTATTACTAGTAGTAATATTAGTGACACTTGAATGAGGGAGAAAGGTTATCGAGCACTGTGTCAATTTTTTTATTGTTCTGAGCTTTCGAACTCTTACAGGAATCCATCGTCAGAGATAAGAGACAGCAATGAAGGGAGGGGGGGGGTAATTATAGTGAGTTTACACCAATCAGCTGTCAGGTGGTCGTCAAGTCGTAGGAAAAGTAAGACAGAACGATGAAAAAGGAGGAGAGGGGTGGGGCGGCAACTGTAGGGCTATACCTGGAACTCGAACCTTTTCATTCATTAGTGACACTCGTTACTGGATGCTCACCGGTTGCTAACGGTTATCACTCGTCCCCCTCTGCCTTGGGTCTCATTCTCGAGCTCTGTCAGCAGCCACACAGCGGATTGTAGTCTAGGCAGATAGTTTTGCTAGTTTCCCCTGTCTTTATTGGCAGTACTATCTGTCTAGTAATAGTAGTAGTGGTACTGTTAGTAGCGGTAGAAGTAGTAACAGTAATATTAGTAGTGACATTGACAGTATTAGTAGTAATAATAGTAGTAAAATTAGTAGTTATACTAGTAGCAGTAACAGTAGTAGTGGTAGTTATAGTAATAGCAATAGCAGTATTACTAATAGTATTAGCAGTAGTAGCAACAGTAGTAGTAATAGTAGCAGTAGTAATAATATTAGTAAAAAACAGTACTCGTAGTTTTATTGGTAGTACGGATTGTTCACTACCCTAGACAATCCCGGTGGTGCGTATTATATATATGTAGCTAGAAAGGATTGGCCTCTTAGTACCTCGCCCATCACA